GAGTAATTTTGATTTGCATTTCTCTAATTGCTAGAGATGTTGAATATTTTTTCATATATTTGTTGATTAATTGTATATCATCTTCCGAGAAGTGTCTGTTCAGTTCCTTGGCCCATTTATTGATTGGGTCATTTTGGTTTTTTTTTAGTGTTAAGATTTTTGAGTTCTTTATATATCCTAGAGATTAGTGCTGTCTCTGATGTGCATGAGGTAAAAATTTGCTCCCATTCTGTAGGCTACTATTCACTTCATTGATTGTGTCTTTTGCTGAGAAGAAGCTTTTTAGTTTGAATCCATCCCATTTATTGATTCTTGATTTTTATTCTTGTACTATAGGAGTCTTATTAAGGAAGTAGGGGCCTAATCCAACATGATGGAGATTTGGGCCTATTTTTTCTTCTATTAGATGCAGGTTTCTGGTTTAATTCCTAGGTTCTTGATTCATTTTGAGTTGAGTTTTTGAGAGATAGGGGTTTAATTTCATTTTGTTGCATATGGATTTCCAATTTTCCCAGCACCATTTGTTGACCATCTAAATATTTTCAGCAGTGTTTAATGAACCACGGTGTAACTCTGCAGTGGTTTCCTGTGCTGACTATTTGCTCCCAGTGTTGACTATTTGCTCTAATTCTTTTTGTCTTATAGGCTTCGTTAACAATAAATGCACCTCCTTTTTGAAGCTATCACCTCAGGGGCAGAGAAAGGAAATTAGGTTAATTGGTTTCTTATGCCATCGGTGAATGAGATCTTAGATATCTTCTGGCTAGCCTGACAACCCTTGAAAAATAGTCTCTGAGTCTTATCTACATGCAGGGAAACTTCAGGAACACAAAGACTTCACCTTGAGTAGGAAGTCTTCAAATATGATGTAACTTTCACTGAGGGCCTATCGGGAATCAAGTGACCTGAAAAGGTAATGGTCAGTGTCAGAGCCTTGTTCTCCCCTTTTCTTTCTTCAACAGCACCCTCCACGAACTCAGGGGAGTGGCTGCCCAATTTGCCTTGACAAGGTCTACTCAACTGGGAGCAACAGGGATCTCAGCAGGGAGGCCTGGGGCCACCAGAGAAAACAGGTGAGCTTCATCTTTCCTCTTCTGACTCTTTTGACATTTTCCAGGTGTTCTCACCCATTTCTCATCATACCTCAACATCTTTTATTCACCTTATATGTGAATAAGAAATCTGGGAATTTGCACTCATTCAGAGAAATGCTGAAATTCCAAAGGACTGAATCTGGAATCCCAGAGGAATAGGAAATGGAGGAAACAGGCAGCTGCCAGTGTCTTTGTCTTACTAGGGATATTGAGGTCTTTGGTGGATTGAGGCTTCAGGGACACATTGCTCAAAGGCCCCTTCGTGATGCCCTGGGTCCCCATTTCTGCTGTCAGCACTGACTCAGCAGTGGTATGGGACATTCAGGACGTTGGCTTGGATTATTCTCCCCTCGCCCAGCTCACTGTCAGTTGTGGGCAAACTCCTGAGAAGCGCTGGATGACGAAACTTACCACACCAGCAGGAGAACGGGACTGTGAATTCTCAAGCCCCCTCCCACCCCTTCCTTCCTCTCCTGAGGGCTAAAAGCCTGACCAGAGGAGGCACACACACCAACTGACTGGGCAGCCTTCAAGCAAGATGCAGCCACTCCTGCTTCTGTTGGCCTTTCTCCTCCCACCTGGGGCTGAGGCAGGTAAGTGACTCACCCCAACCTCAGAGATCTATCTGATCCCATCCCAGACTCTGGAACCAGCCATAATGCCTCAGCACATTCTAATTCTGTTTCATTGAGCAAGGTATTTGTATTCACATTTCCTTAGTTTCCTCATCTATAAAATGGAAATAATATTACAACAAACCTCACAGAGTTGCTATGCAAGTTAAATCAGTAAATGTATATAGAAGTCTTAGAGTTGGCCTCATGCAAATTTGCTCATACAAATTCATTCTGTACTCCATGTGTCAAAGCCTGGGAGACAAGGATACAGGAATAGCAGTCCCAGAAGCTCCTGTGTAGGTTCTCCAACACTAGTCCCATGTTGCCCATAAGTGGTCAGAGGGACATAGAAAGTTTCATGAGGAAGAAAGTTCCAGGGACTTCAAGGAGCTCTCATGCTCACAACAGCGAATTTCCTTCGTACTGAGGCTAAAGCTGGCCCTGCCTAGAGTGAGCCTTGTTGTCCCCTTTGTGGGAGGAGGAGCAAACTGAGTTCTGAAGGGAAATGGGTCTCCCTGAAGCTCTCTCCCAATGCCTGGTGCCTCACAGACCCATCCTCACCAACAACTGCTCCCTGTCCTGCATTATCTCTCCTGCCCTCCTCATCTTCCTGTCTTTCTAAAGCCATCAACCTGGGGGCCCCACTGCAGGTGCTCAAGCAGAGGTAAGTGTTGAACGCTTCCTTCCAGGGAAGATCATTGGAGGCCGAGAGGCCAGACCCCATTCCTACCCCTACATGGCATATCTTCGGGCCCAGACCTCAAGAGGTGGGCACACCTGCGGGGGGTTCCTGGTACGAGAAGACTTTGTGATGACAGCAGCTCACTGCTTCGGAAGGTGAGGAGCTCAGTTGGGGGCAGTGGGGAGCGGGTAGAAGACCTCCTTTGATGAACCGTCTGAAAGTAACATTGTAGTAATGAAAGATAAAAAAACGGGACCAGGTAGGACTGGGGAGGGGAGCCCAGTAGAGGTAACAGGCCAGTGTAAACATGACCACAAAGAACAAGAGTAGGAGATGGAAAACACAAATTGGGTCTCAAAATGTGAACTCCAGGGGCCGAGTTGTGGCTCAGTGGTAGAAAGCTTGTCTAGCATGTGAGATGCACTGGGTTCGATTCTCAGCACTGCATATAAATAGGTAAAATAAAGGTTCATTGATTCAGTAGATCAAGGATGGCAGCTAAATCAGAGCTTTAAAAAAATGTGAACTCAAGCTATTTCTCAACTTAATCTGGAAGAGCAAATCTTAAGGTCGTGGTCCCCTGCCATCCCCTCCAGCCCCCTACCCCGTCCCCTCCACTGCAGGCTTGCCCTGCCCTAGGTGGCCCATCTGTACTGCAGAGCTGCTGGACCCAAGCTTCTGCTGCTCATACCTACCTCTAGGCCAACTTTCCTTTCACAGTGTTATAAATGTCACTCTGGGGGCTCACAACATCCAGAGGCAGGAAAGGACTCAGCAACACATCACTGTGCGAAGAGCCATCCCCCACCCTGAATACAATCCAGACAACATCCAGAATGACATCATGTTACTGCAGGTACTGCCTGCCTGGCCCTGAACACCTCCACCCTAGCCAGTGACCTTCCAATGTCATAGTGGCTTTGCTGTGCTCTGGGACCATGGAAGAAGAAGCCAGAGCAGGGCTGGGGGGGATCAGGGCAGGGATCCCAGGCAGGGCTGGGGGGAGTGGGGCAGGAATGGGGCAAGTACCATCCCAGCAGTCCCTAAGCTTTGGTTAGGGTCCAGCTGAGCAGCAATGCCCATACTCTCTCCGGCAGCTGAGCAGCAGAATCAGGAAGAATGGAGCGGTGAGGCCCGTGGCTCTTCCTCAAGCCAGGAATGTGCTGAGGCCTGGGGCCTTGTGCACAGTAACTGGCTGGGGCCTGGTCAACCAGAACACATTAGCAAGCCGACTCCAGGAGGTGCAGCTGAGAGTGCAGAGAGGTCAGGTGTGCAGCCAACGCTTTGCTTTCTACACTGAAAACACCCAGATTTGTGTGGGGAACCCTCGGGAGAGGAAGAACGCCTTCAGGGTAAGAGCATGGACAACTGCCAACGTTTTGTGGAAAAGACTCCATCCCCAAAGCCCCAGCCCTGGGGGGGTGGGGGCCAGACCAGGGTTGGGTGGAGATTTTTTCCCTCATCAATGCAGGCCCCAGAGATAAGGGTGGAAAACCCACAACACTTACACAGGCAGCATTCCCCTGGGAAGGAAAGAATAGCTAGACTCAAATTGAGCTGGAAGAGCAGCGTTGACTGTGCTGAAGCCCAGCAGCTAAACATCCAGAGTCTTGACTCCTGCACCTCAAAGCCCCATCTCACACACACAAGCAACTAAAGGAACCCTACCCTGCCTTCTCTGAGAGCTATGGCTTTAGGGCAGCAGGAGCAAGGAGGCCTGGCTTAGTGTCCTTTCCACTCTATTCCACAGGGAGACTCAGGTGGCCCCCTAGTATGCAACAATGTGGCCCAGGGCATTGTCTCCTACGGAGAAAGGACTGGGACCCCTCCTGCAGTCTTCACCAGGATCTTAAGCTACCTGCCCTGGATAAGGAGAACAATGGGACGCTTCGAATGGCAGGATCAGACTGAGATGCCCCACGACTGACTCTTTTTCTTTGGGGGACGGGCCAGCTCCAATGGATTGCCAAAGCTTTAATAAATAACAGTTTGGAGTGTAAATATTTTTTCAGTAAACATCATTTAGAACTGTCTTAGTCTGTTTGAACAGCTATAACAAAATTCCACCTACCAGGTGGCTTATAAAAGCAGACATTTATTTCTCACGATTCTGGAAGCTGAGAAGTCTATGACCAAGGTACCAGCAGATTCGGGTCTGGTGAGAGAAGCTTCCTGGTTCATACAGTCATCCTCTTGAGTCAGGAATCCCAGGCAGTAGCACTGGATATGGCCATCTGCACCTCCTCTAATCCTGGGGCAAGATGAAGAGCTATACATCTGTGAGGAGTATATCTTCACTTCAGGTGCCCAGCCAGAGCAGGTGAGGCTTAGAGGTTTAGATCCTGCCCTCCTGTGGCTTTCTATAGCCAGGGATTGAGCTATACTATCCTTGTCTTCCGAGGGCAGTCCTAGGCTTCTGAATGACCTGGAATTCAAGAGAGGCATTTCTATCTTCCTGCTCTCTGCTTCTTGTGAGGGCCCTGGGCTTAGTGTTCCCTGAACATGATTATGTTTAAAACCTAGGAGACCAGCTTGAGTTATTTCCATTTTTCTAAAATATTTTCACTGTTTTTAAAGTAGTGATCCATCCTAATGGTGTTCTAAGCAGGAATAGCACTCTCCAAAATGGTTTGGAAGAATGCTGTACATCACAGCACTGGTCCATAATGTATCTGTGGGCCCTGGTAAAGGTACTGTTGAAACAGCGCTGCAACAAGAGAAGAATGAAGATGTGTCCTAATCACTCTGGGAGGAGTGCTACCTAAGTGTTGACTCCAAACCCCCTTAATTTGACTGGCTGTATGAAACATTGAGAGTTTAATTGTCTTTTCTTGATAATCTTCTTGATGACTCTCCTATTCTGTGGCACCTGAAGGAGATAAATGACCATCCACACCCCCAGAAGCTAGGGGTGCTCCACAGTGCCCTGGTCAGGCTAGCTCTAAGGGCCATCCTTGCTTCACTTTATTCCTAGAAGTTTTATTCCTAGAAGAAGCTTTATCACTGGATAGAGTGTGCAGAAATTCTAGAATCCTACTTTCAAAGATACCTGATGGGTCACACCTCTGTCACCTTGAAAGTAACTTACTTATTGGGAAGACATAGGACACTGGTGGGTGGGAAATTGCTAAATATTAGGGCTATAAACTTCCATCCTCCAAATCTAAAAGTGGACAGCTTTTGTCATCTGGATTAAAATTGGAAGAAGTATCTTCTAATCCAAATCCTAAATGTGGCCCTGATCTTGTCCCCATTCAGAAGAGCTATTCAGCTCCACAAGGACAGTTACCCAGAGAGTAATGGAGCCAACAGAGTTTGGCCTAAGTGCTGCTTCACAGCAATGAAGACAAGCTCCCAAAGGATGCTCTCCACTCAGCCCTTTCTCCATCTCCTTCTGCTCCCCTGTCCTTTGTACTCTTCCCTCTTTACCTTGATGGCTCAGCTCCTTAGGAAGATGAGCCTGTGCTGTGATCAGGGTCTATTAGCAGCTCTCCTACCCACCTGCTGGACACAGCACATTTGAAGACTATTCATTGTGCATCAAACAAGCTTTTGTGAAGTATTTATTATGTACCTGACTCAGATGTGGGCACAGGAAGAAGCCCCAAGTTTATATGACATTTAGTTCTTCGAAAGCAGCCCAATGCTGGAAGTATGCCATTCATAAGGTGTTTGAGAAGCACCTGGAAGAGAAGCAACCGTGTTTGGACAGAGAGTGTATTCCAGGTCTTCTGGATGGTCTAGGGGGTTAAGATCCTTTTCCTTTAACATATTTATGAAGCTTATTTAATTTAAAAACAGAGTTGAGCTTTCTCATCTCTTCAAAAATGAATTGATAACTAGGGAAAGAGTTGGGTCCAAATTCAAGCCCACCATGCTACCCACAGAAACCAGGACCCCTTCTCAGCATGTGGTAGTCTGTACAAAGGGTTTTCTTCCCAAACCATGTCCAAGTTCACAAATGATCACAGCACGACCACCCTGTCTTACAGCCACTGGGCTTGCCATCTGGTTTCTATGAACAGACATCCAGGACAAATTTTCTCTTTCAGAGGAAATCAAATGGGACAGAGAGGTGAAAACCCACTTCAGGCCCTACATGCCATTCATAAGATTCTATGAAATCAAACTAGTCAGGAAATACTGTGGGGGTTTCCTGATACAAAACAACTTTGTGATGTCAGCAGCTCACTGTTACAGAAGGTGAGAAATACCTGGGTCTTTGTTGTCCCGGGACTAACCAAGGGACCATAGCTCATGAAAATCCCCAAGATATAGGACCAAGGGCTAATGAGGAACCACCTGAGATTCCCTAAGCTGGTCCACAGGATTGAAGAGTGCAGGAGAGCAGGCTGAGCAGCAAGGAGGCTGCCAAAAATCCAGCCTTGGCTCACTGCAAAGAAAAGCAACACAGTCAACATTTGGACAAAGGTTGGACACAGTTTTGCCCATCCCTTCCTAACAATTTGACTCAGCTATTGCTCTGCCTTAGGCTGAGACCTCAACTTGCCTTTCAAAGACTGAGTTATGACTCCAATGACTAGCCTTATCCATCTTTACTTTATGGCAAAATAAATGTTACCTTGGATGCTCACAATATTAAGAAAAAGGAAAACACCCAACAAGTCATTCCTATTCTAAAAGCCATCCCTCACAAAGAATATAATAATAAAACAGCGGTCAATGATATCATGCTCCTAAATGTAACATCTTGCTGACTTCTGGTCTACCTGCACAAGTCTCTGGGGATCATTCAGCTTGTGCAGTCTCAGTCCCCTCCTCCCCTCTCAGTAGATGATCAGCTAGTCACAGTGCAATAGAAGAAGGTTTGGGAGGTCTTCTAGGCAGTGGAGATACAAACAACCTCATCCCTGGTCTAAGCCTCCCTGAGAGGATGGCACCTCAATTGCCATCCCTCTCCTAGAAAGAAGACTGACATACAAGGCTCAACTCAATACAGTGGTGAAAAATATTGCCCTCCTGAAGAGCTAGGACTGGGTGATATATGGGCAGGTGTGTACTGTGGCAGCCTGGGGGAAACTGGCTATAGCAAAAATCCTGACACACTCCAAGAGGTGGACCTGGAAATACAGAATAAGCAGAAATACAGGGACATCTTCCCGTTCTACAACAGTCCATCCAGCTATGTGTGGGGAGCCCTAAGGACAAGAAGGCTACTGATAGAGTAAGGACACAGCCACCTTTGAATTTTTGCCCAGGGACAGAGTAATACTGAGGACAGATGATTGAGCTGGTCTGGGATGAGCTAGGAAGAGGATGCAGCTAGGCAGATGGCTAAGGCAAGGCCATAATTGAGGAAAGATAATAGAAAATGAGCCTGAAAGGGGGTAAACCACAGGGGCCTATGCTAAGACTTCTCCCTTTTCTGTCTACAGGGAGACGCTGGGGTACCCTTCATGTGTGGCCCAGAGCATTGTCAGCTAACAACATACTACTGGGAAACTTCCTTGGGTCTTTACCAGGATCTCAAGCTTCATGGCTTGGATTCAGACAGTAATGAACTCTTCAGACATAGCTATATGACAGGCCCTGTGTCCTGGGATAATGTCCTCACTTTGTGGAGGACAACTGTCTGACTCCTAAGACTATCTCCTGGTAGAGAGGAGCTGATTTCTCTTTCTTCCTTGAATATATTCTTCAACACCTTCTATGGCCATCCTTCTCTACCCTCTTCTCCTCCTAGTTACTCACTTCTAAACACTTCCCATAAACCCTCTGATTCAAACCCATGCACTGACCCAGTCCTGTCAGCATCTGTTTAGCATGTCAGTAAGATTTGAAGAAAGGGGAGAGCTTTCTCCCCTGAGAAGCAATGGAGCTCATTTCCAGGGAATTTCAAAGATATTCCTTTCTCTTTCCTGGATCCAGGCCAGTCACAAAAAGAGAAAAGCACCTGAGACCCCACTCTAGCACCAACGACCAGGCTCCTCTCTGGCCTCCCTGTGGCCACAGCTCCAACAGTCTCCACTCTGAACTGCTGTCCCAACTGGGATCTGTCAGTTCCCATCAGCTTATCATAATGATCAGGATAAATCAGCCTATATGTGGTACTTCCCACCCCAGAGCAGAGCCTATGAGAATGTGATAGACAGGCTATGTTCACAGGCCTGTCCACACACCTCCCACATGAATGGGGCAAGTTCAGCCTTTATCTTCCTGCCCAGCACAACCCACAGTCTTGGGTGCAGATTCAGCACCGACCTGGAAAATTGCTCACTTAGCCACCTAAGCACCTTCCAGACTGCCCCATTTATTGAAGGTATTCAGGGAACTTCAACCAGAGTTGAAGTGACCTCAGAGTTGAGGTAAAGGATGGACAGCAGAACATCACAGTTTGCTCCCAAACAGAAAAGGGGGGCTTCTGTGCCTTCATAAAAATGACTGGTTTGTAATCTATCCACCAAACAAATGTTTTACTAGCAACTACTCTACTGAACACAGTTTTCCAGTATGTTCTCTCCTCCATCAGATTTAGTTTGTTCTTGATATGTTTTATTTCATTTATTGAATTCTTTATTTCCAAATTTTCCATTTTGTTTTGTTATCTCCTTTTATAGAAATTCTCATTTGAATCATGTAACATTTTTATAATTTCACTGAATTCTCTATCTGTACGCTTTCACATCTCACTGAGTTACTTTAAGATTATTACTTTGGATGCCTTTTCAGGCATTTCATAAATTTCCTTTCTTTGGGGTCTTGCTAGAGAATATTGAGTTCCTTTGGATGGGCTATGTTATCTTGCTGTTTCATGTTTCTTACATCCCTGTGTTGATATTTGCACAAACAGTAAAAATATAGTAGGCCAAAAATTTTAACAGACAGTTCACAAAAGAAGGTGTACAAATGGCCGAAAAGCACAAGAGAAGATGTTCAACATCATCAGTGATCAGGGACATGCAAATTAGTACCTAAGACAATTCTACTTACACCTAATACAATGTTTAAATTTTAAAGATTATAAAGAATGTGAAGCAACTTGGAGGAACTCAATTGACTT